CATTATTTTTTTACCCTTGCGGCAACCCCTTTTCTTTTTTGGCGAATCTGGATAGAAAATGTCTTTCTGCTTGTAGCAGTGTAGGAGAAATGGCGTACTGATAAGTAAATTATACTTTATTGATATGAAGGAACATAGTTTAGTAAATTACAACTATTCAAATTGTCGTAGTGACGTAGAAACCGTTATTAAAGTTTAAGCAAACTTTTTACAGTTTCCGTAGCAAATAAATCAATAAATAAATTACAGTATTAAAGGTAGTAATCTTTCCTTTTATATTTTCTATACATTTCTATCGAGTGTAATAGATATAAATGGAGGCTATTTTATCTACCGGTGTAGTGAAGCGGAAGAACCCAGAAAATCGAAAAGTAAATTTAAGACTGGATCAGGAACAGGAAAGTAGCGCAGCTATGTCGGACTCCATCAAGGATTACTTGAAAATACCGGAATCAATCTTTGATTGTACGATGGGGTCGTTATCAAATCCTTTATTCCATTAAACATAAGACCGATGTCTTAGCTAAAAATTAGGTTGTACCTACTTGTATTCGAGAAAAGTTGTTTCCCATCTTCAGGCCTGTTCAGTCCATCGATAGATTGCTTTTGAAATAGGTTAAATGGACGTTATTCATTGAATTTGATGCAAAACCTTTCGCTATACTACATTAAAAAGATGTCTAAGTAGGGGTTACTCTTGCGACAAGTTGGTCTAAATCCTTTCATTTTGATCCCAAAAATCTGTGGTCTTACAATCTATTCCGTACCTGTATAAACCACGTTTTCGTTCTAAATGTTTGGTACGTTTCAAAAGTGTAGAATAAATTCATTTAGAGATTTTAAAAAGTCTTGGGGCACGTCAATATTGTTTTATAAAAACTTAGTTAAAAAACCAATTTGTTTTTGTGATTTGTTTTCGATTTTTTTTCCCTTGCGGCAACCCGTTTTCTTTTTTGGCGAATCTGGATAGAGAATGTTTTTCTACCTGTAGCAGTGTATGAGAAATGGCATATTGATAAGGGAATTATACTTTATTGGTTATATGAAGGAAAATAGTTTAATAAATCACAACTATTCAAATTGTTGTTGACAATGACCAGACGATTCCAGTTATGCAATAACGTGACCAATGACCTCTAATGACGTAGGTCACGGCAGTCGGTAATAACCTCGGTAATAACTCTCATTGACCTTTATCAAATTAAATTTTCGAGAATAACTTCACATATGAAAACTATGGCATCAGCTAGAACATTGTCAGCAAGTCAGTTTACAACAATTTGGACATTTACTCTATTTTTTTAAATTCATTTCCACATTTCATGTGATTTTCCTTTAATTTCTCGAAAAATGTCTTCTATCTAAGTTCATAAAAAAATAGGTTGCAATTCCTTTTGAAAAAACAAGTGTGGGATAGTTCATAACTCCTTTATTGATTCCACCAATTTTGATTTAAATTCACAATACTATGTTAACGATAATGACATCCCACATATTCCTGAAATTACTGAAGATAAAATTTTAAATTCTATAAAGTAACTGAAAGTAAATATGACAATGGGTCCAGACAACTTGCCGGCCTTTATTATCAAGGATTGTGCTTGCTTATTTTCCAAACCGTTATGCACGATCTTTAATCAAATCCTTAGATCTAACACCTTCCCTGATTTATGGAGACAGTCTCGTGTGTGTCCGGTTTATAAAAAGGGTAACAAGGAGGTGTTGAAAACTACAGACCTATTGCTATTTTATGCAACTTTTCTAAATTATATGAAATAATTATTCGCGAACACATTTCTTTTTATGCTAAAAACCTAATTGTTCCTGAGCAGCATGGTTTCATGCCTGGTAGATCAACAGTGTCCAATCTTGTGTGTGCTACTCAATTTATTGCCGAGACTTTGGATATGAGAGGTCAGGTGGACGTTATATATACTGATTTCACTAAAGCCTTCGACAAATTAGATCATGGTATATTACTTCGTAAATTACACAATTTTGGTATCAATAATTCTCTTTTACTTATGTTTAAATCTTATTTATCACATCGTATTCAGTTTGTGCAATATCGTGGTTACAAATCAGACATATTTAGTCAAACATCAGGCGTTCCTCAAGGGTCAGTACTAGGACCACTATTTTTTATTATTTTTATCAATGATATAGCGCTAAACTTTAAGGTAAATTTTTTAATGTATGCTGACGATTTGAAAATTTATACTAATGTCAACTCTGTATCTGATTGTAATAGGCTTCAGCACAGCTTGAATTTGCTTACCATTTGGTGTGATAATAATCGGCTCCCCTTAAACACTTCGAAGTGCAATGTAATGTCTTTCTCCCGTAAAACTAATTCTACTCTATTTAATTACAGCCTACGTGATCAGGTACTGGTTAGACCTGAGCATATTAAGGACTTAGGGGTCATCTTTGTCCCAAAATTAACCTTCTCTGCACATATTGCTGAATCTGTCACAGGTGCTTACAAAAATTTGGGTTTTATGCTCCGAAATAGTAAGGACTTTAAGAATATGTCTACATTACGTACCTTATATACGTGCTTTGTTAGACCCAAGTTGGAGTATGCCTCTGTGGTTTGGTCTCCCTATTATAATAGTTACATAACATCATTAGAAAAAGTGCAGAGGAGGTTTCTTAAATCGGCCTGTTTTATCTTAGATGGAGTCAATCCAGCTCTGGGATATCCTTAGGAGTTGTTATTGGATAGGTTTGAAATGCATAGTTTAATTAAGAGGAGGGTTATGTACTCGATAATGTTCTTGTACAAAATTGTCAACCACGATATTGATTGCATTGAGCTTACAACACAAATAAATTACCGTGTTCCTAGAATAAATGCCAGATCAAATAGTTTGTTTAATCTTCCTTCTTCGCGCACTAACATGTTGCGGTGGTCTCCTTTACATCAAATGCTTTTTAATTATCATAATATGGAGAATAGCCTGGACATTTTCAATACTTCTTTAGCACATATTAAAAGAATTTTCTATTCTCACAATTGAGTTATCGGATTTTTAATTTCTTGTTAGTTTTTTGTATTACCTACTTATGTTGTTGTTTCTGTTGTTGGTAATGATTTTAGATATATTAATTCCCATGTGACTTTACCGTTATGCTATTTTTTTATTGATTGACTGACCATTGTTTCTGATTAAGGTTTGTAATTTTTATTTATACTTTTTAAATGTTTATGTTTCTTGTGTTAATGTGTATTTATTGTAGCTGTAATATTCATCCTGTAACTGGGTTTCTCCCGTTGGGTGAATTAAATTAAATAAATAAATAAATAAATATGGGTTTTTTTCTGAATTATATTTTGATTCCAAAATATAACACAAAAGGTATTCTAATTTTAAAATATTAATATGAAAAAGTACGTTACTATGGATCGAGTTTAATTTTACAACAAATTTTAATTTTCACAAGCTATCAGAGCTTTAATAATTCTTAGCATTATGGAGTATAGTTTAGGGTACATTTAAATGAATTAATTGGCCGACATGGATTTGGTATATAGGGAATATAGATATAATTCTTTAGTGTCAGCAAGGCTATATTAATTTACGAAAAGTCGATTAAATAAACCTCAACTGACGGAATAACAAATTTGTGAACTTTTAAGAATTTGAGAAAATAAAATTGCTAATCGATTCTTAGTTCATTGCCATAATCTACTGAAAATGATTTTTATATTATTTGTTAAACTATGACAAACATTGATCTTGTGACAGTTAATGTTAATACCTACTTTTAAATTTACTTCTGCGGTTTTCTCTGAGCAAAAAACTTTACATTAACTTTTCTCGAAATTGTACGATCCTATCGATTTTAAGCTAGGCTAGTATATATTTTTATTGGGTATACTGTTTATTATTTTTGTATTTATATTATATATTATAATTTATTAAAATGTTTTCATTTCTGATTTAGCTCTACTTCAGTATATTGTACAGTTAGTACTAATTTTCAAAGGTACTTTTACCCGAAAATATTTTTTTAGAGCTTCCACTTTATGTAATGTAGTTTATTTTATTTAACGATTATATTCTTTAAATATAGGTAGGTACCTATATTTTATATTACCTACAGGCAGCGTAAATCCAATAAATACATTTTATGATTAAGCATTAGCTTTAGTATATCCGATAAAAGAAAATAGGCAATAAAAAAGTAAAAATTGTTATTTTGAACAGCTATAACAACGAATATGGTTTGCAAAACATATTTCAGATATTTACTTAATAAATTAAGTACTGGCACTGCCATCTGAAATTAACATTTAAGAGAATTACTCCATAATCAACTCGATAATTAAATTTCTCTATTCTGAAGACGACATTTTCAAAACGCCTTCAGAATGTTAATAGATTAAATAATGACGTAGTCAATAATATTGGCAGGCTGTCTAGATGTTCATGTTCATTTATAAATAGTCACTACCACTGCTACCCAATCTCCATGATTTTAACACGGCTAAACTGGCAGAGAACGACCTGTTATTTCGCAAGTAGTGGGAAAGCATTACTTAGGTCGCCACTAGGCGAAACAATTTTTAACTTGCGAGAAACACCTACTCTGCGGATTAATATCTCGACCAGCATTGAATGTACCCGCAATATCTAGTAAACTACTAGAAGTGGCAGAACCAACCAGACCGTTGCTCTCTGTCAGCTTGGTAGCATTGAAAGCATGTTAGATCTTTTCTGGCTTATGCTTACTCAATATCTATAGATAAGACATTAAAAATAGTTGACTGATTCGTAGGTTAGTTCACCTATGATATACTGATTAGAACTAGTAAGTAAACCGATTTATAAGATATTGCGCTGGTCGGGACATTAGTCCGCAGAGCAGTAGTCCGACTTAATGTAAATCATTATTTTTAGATATCCAATTTTAACATGCCTATTTGTTTTTTTAATTGAGCTGTCTTTTTTAAATCACTAAATATTTATTGAAGTAAATAAATCTTGTTTCAGTTTCCTCTAACCAAGGAGAAAATGGCGAATCTATGCGCCCAGTGTGAACGGTACATCGGAACTCAAGGGGGCGGTATGGACCAAGCCATTGCATTTTTAGCTACCGAGGGTAAGAAATATGTTTGCGACAGTGCTAAATTATGAATTATGTATGAAGGAGGTCCTGGCTGTAGTGTGTCCTAGAATCTATTTTCGAAGACATGATAAATAACCCTAACCCGACTTTTTGCGTCGGGAGTTCTTCTAAACTCCTATATTCAGATTACGCTTTTCTGGATAAAGGAATTATGGTTTTGTAGTTGGCTGCAGCCAGGTCAAGAGTGGAGAGCGAGCGCAAAATGACTAAAACACAAAACGGATATGAGAATAGAGGGCAGTAACCTTAGGCGGGATATAAATTTTGTAAATGATGCTTCGGTTCCTTAATCGATTATAAAAGTAACCGTCTCGTGTCCCGCTATTCTGCCGAATGGTATTTTTATTGTCAAGTCGTAGAGACAAATGTATCTACATTACATTATATTACGGAAAATATCAGGATTGATATTTTATACATAATAAACGACAGTTTATGAAAAACAATGTTGCTCCAAAAATCTAAAGCAACTGCATACAGATACAAAATTAAAGAAATCAGCAAATCAAGACAATGTTTGATCGGTATCAATAATTAAATTATACTTTTCATTCCAAGATACAAATAAAAAATTATTTTTATGTCGCCTTAAAAAACTCTACATCTCCTCCTGAAACACCCTGTATAGGGTGCGTTCTAAAGTAAACAGGACTTTTAAAAAATAAAAACAAAAAGATTCTTTTGTCATTTTGGCCCCTTAATGATGTCCTTGGAATGTTGATTTCTGAGCAATTTTTGGATGTCAGTCAACTTGTGCGGGACAAATCGTGCACACACTTTTCGGTAGCCCAAATATTCAGCAAAATGCGATAAAATGATTTTTTGAGATGCTGAATTCCAATTTCATGAATTTCAAAGAAGATTTGGCTGATCTGTGATGAATTCACACAGTTTTGATGGAATCTGCCTTGATCACGGATTTGGGTTGGGCAACATGATTCATGAATTGGAATGTTTCAGTTTTACCAAGTTTAAAACAAAACTTAATACACAATACGCAAACATACTATTACTTCAGACGCAATAGCTCCGTTTCTATTCGTCCAGATGTCATAAAATTTTTACAGTACATCAGTGAAGTATCACATGTAATTGCCAATAGATGGCCTCACTGGAAATATTTATTTTTAAAAAGTCCTGTTCACTTTGGAACGAACGTTATTATTCCAATAATATCTTCAGAATTTGACCTCAATTTAATTAATATAGTTTGACTTTTCTCTTTTCAAATGTTATACATTTTAATTCAGAGGGAAAGAAGGAAACGACTAGAAATGGGTATAGTAATACACCTCTAATGTTGTACTAAAGAGATTTCTAAATTTGCTGTAGGATAAACAAACACTAAAAGAGAACGACTACCGGAGCGTCAGCCTCATCCTCACGTGCTGAAAATTGCGATTCATTGAACTTTTTACGGTCTGAGAAGCAATAAGGTCAGAGTGTTATCGTAATCGATTTTGTAAAAAAAAACCGCAGTAAGAAGTCCCAGCGCTGTGTTCGATTTCGACAAAACGGGGGTAGAAATCTATTTGCAGTAAAATAATTTTCTCCCAATAGAGATAAATTTTGTAAGAGTAATTTGTGGTAAACCGTTTATCTAAGATTCAGTATTAAAGTTTTATCTTTTTTTTTAACTTATTAGAACTTAGATTGTTGCTACAGAGACTAGGTAAAACGGTCTGTTTACTCTTCGTCGTTCATTAAAAACGCAGTAAAAACTGCTGTTATTTTTCGCTATCTTCCCTTAAAATTAATGACATTATGACTGAATCACCCTGTATGCGTAAAGTAATTTTCAGGAACGTTTCCAAAAATCCCAAATTTTATTTTACTTTTTGTCAGTATTTCATAAATTAGATCGATTTTTAAATTCAAGTCAAAAATTGTAAAAGCATATTAATAAAAGTGTATACCACTTTTTTATAGAGATGTTTTTTTTTTTCAACTTATTTGTTCTTGTGTTATTTTATTCATTCAACCTCACGTGAACTGAATATTCTACTTATAATTTACATAACGTGTAATCCAATGTGCGTCCTTTGAATTCTTTTATTCTGAAACACGTCTGTTTAATGAAAATTCCCGCGTTGAATTTCTCTCTCGCAGTTTATTCTCATGGGTACAGATTTTAAATAAACCAACACATATCCAGACCGCACTTCTAAATGCTTCTAATTAAACTGTAAGTTTATTCCTCTGGATGGAAACTATGCTGATGCTGAGCATATTGTGGGTAATGTGTACGGACCCCTTTGTGACACAAAATACTACTAAATCATATGTTTTTTTCACTGTCACAGTTTATTAGGGTTTGCTCTTTCTTCTGGCAGATACAGGGTGTGGCGTGTATAATCTATAAAAATTAAACTACAGCTCCCTGATGATATTTGTAATAGAAAACTCTTATACGAAAAAGTTCTATCTTCCCGTTTTTTTTGTAAATTAAAGTTCATTTATTCAACGAAAATGAAGGCCTGTGTTATTTATTAAAAACTTTGGAAATGTTCTTATGCCACCCGAGATGCAACCTTATAATTTAAGTCGGTATAATCTAATACTAATAATACTAAAAGAAGGTTAGGTTACATTGTCAAAAGTTTGTGCAGTCAACTGATTTTGTATTTGTATATTTGTATCGTTATTCACTTAATTATTAAATATTAAGCATCGTCCATCGACCCATCAGTGTTAAAAAGTGAAAGATTCCAGACAAAAGTTTTTATTTTGTAATTCCACTATAGTGACAGTGTAATTTTTATAAAGAAGTAGAAAATAAGAATAGTGTACCGATTACATTAAAAACGAGATTCCTATTTCTTACTTTGCTTAATTTTTTAGATTGTGCGCTAACTAGTTTTACAATAAACCGAGAAAACAATGCATTTGTATTTCCGAACGTGTCGATATGGTGTTAGTGTATGGTGCGGCCGGAGAAAATGTGCTCGCGGCGACTAGGTTGTACCGGGAACGACGGTCACAACGTCACCCTCCATGTGCAAATACAACCCTACAGTGCGTTCAGCGGCTGCGAGATACGGGAAGTGTTATTCCTCGAAGAGAAGGACGTGGTCAGCAAGTGAACCTTAATGTTGAAGATGTAGTGTTGGAAAATCTTGATGAAGACCCCACAATTAGTACTCGACGACTCGCACAGCAAGTAGGAATCTCATCTCGTACCGTAAATCGCATCTTAAGGCGCCAGCTGTTGTAACCCTATCATCTGCAACCAGTTCAACAGATTTTACCCCCGGATTGTGATCAACGAATGCGTTTTTGCAGATGGTTTTTACGGCAATGTGCCAATCAAGTAGACTTTCCTACTTATGTTTGTGTAACAGATGAGGCGACATTTACCCGTGAAGAAGTGAATTTCCATAACATGCACATATGGGCCGATGAAAATCCTTACGCGATTAGAGAAACTCATTTTCAACATCGGTTCTCGATAAATGTTTGGGCTGGCATAATAGGCGAAGTACTTGTGGGCCCATATTTCTTTGAAGGACGACTAAATGGACCAACATATGCTGACGCTTTGGAGAACCGGGTGCCTGATTTATTGGACGATGTAGCATTTCAAGTTTGGGCACACATGTTCTATCTTCAAGATGGGGCTCCTCCACACAGTACTCGAGAAGTAACGACACTTTTGAATGAAATGTTTCCTCAGCGATGGATTGAACGCTTTGGTCCTGTTCCGTGGCCACCTCGAACACCCAATCTAACACCAATGGACTTTTATCTTTGGAGTCACTTGAAGTCATTGGTTTGAAATACTTCAATTGCTACGGTAGAAGAATTGCGAAACTGTATATTTGAAGCTGCTGACATAATTAGGGGAATACCTGGAATTTGGGAAAATATTCGCCGAAATTGGGTGCGTCGGTGCCATGCTTGTATCGGCGTTATTGGGGATCAATTTCAACATTTTATCTAGAAATGTTAAGTTGTTTACTGCACGCAGTTGTCAACTACGGATGCTTACGGATGTGGTTTTGTTTGCGAACTCTTGCAGTAACAACAATGCATTTAAGATAGTAATTACTATTAATTACTATAATAAGAAAATATCAGTTTCTTTAAATATCTGTTCCCCAAAAATTGGAGTATCTTTCTATCTTTCAACGACGATTTATTTACGCAGTTGGTCTACAGCACGTAACTCATCGTCCAGAGAAAATGTTTTGATAATTAAACTTTAATTTACGAAAAAAAAACGCAAAAATAGAACTTTTTCGTATAAAATGTTTCTATTACAAATATCGTTAGGAAACTGTAGTTTAATTTTTATAGATTATACACGCCTCATCCTGTATAATACTTTGCTTGTATGGTTTTGTTTAGACTAATTTTAAAAAAATATTCAGATGTTATTCATTCTGTATCAATAATGAAAGATACAGGAATAGGCAGCTCTGTTAAAAAAGTCCATTCTACAATGTAGAAAAGGTATACAGGGTGTTATTGAAGTATATAGTAAAAATAAATTTTTTGTGTATTTAATACAAAAATAAAGTGTTTTGAAATTCGTATTAATAAATTATTAGTATGTATAGTAGTAGTATGTGTAGTAATATAAATAAATGTAAGTTTCATTTAAATCGTGATATGAGTTTAGGGATTCGGTAATAGTTATAATAATAATAATAATCATCAGCGTAAGATTACAGAGAAATTATATTCAATCGAGATCCTGTTTCTCTTTGCATAATACTAATTGAGTTGTAAAACCAACATGTATATCTAAATAAATGCACAGCTCGAGGTGTATATTGTTACCTCGCTGACGTATTGACTGGTTATCAGCAAAATGTGAGTGGAAAAGAGAACTCATTTTTATTTATCTCCGGAACCCGGAATTTTATTAGACACTTCATTTTACAACTGCCGTAAAAGAGACGTTTGACGAGCGGTGCCTGAAATTACATTTGCATACTTTTCAAGTTTCATGGGTATTGTTTATAAAATTA